ATGGCCCTCGCTCTCACTCATGCTTTCTCTCTCAAATAAATACATAAATCTTGAAATAAAAAATAGAAATAGAACTTCCCACCCTTCCACATAACCCTTCTCGTTCCCCTTCTAAGCCACTAATTTGTTCTTCCTCCCCTTATAAGCCTGTTTGTAAGCCTGTCTTCTAACACCTAGTTTGATCTTAACAGTTTTAGAACCTTTTTTTTTTTTTTTTAGATTTTATGTATTCATGAGAGACAGAGGCAGAAACATAGGCAGAGGGAGAAGCAGGCTCAGAAGCAGGCTCAGAAGCAGGCTCCTCTTGAGCTTGATGTGGGACTTGATCCCAGGACCCAGGAACCTGAGCTGAAGGCAGACACTCAACCACTGAGCCACCCCAGGTGCCTCTAGTTTTAGAACTTTTTATAAATAGAATCATTAAGTGTCATGTCTGGTCTTTGCTCAATATTGCATTTGCAAATATAATTTGCTCATGTTCTTTCGTATTACGTACCACAGTTTATCCATTATGTTGTAGATGGACACATTTTGGTTGTTTTCATTTGTGGCTATTAATGCAGGGTGCCTGGATGGCTCAGTCCGGGAAGCATCTGCTTTCAGCTCAAGTCATCATCCCAGGGTCCTGGGATTGAGCCCCCAAATCAGGCTCTCTGTTAAGTGGGGAGTCTGCTTCTCTCTCTCCCTCTGCCTCCTGCTCCCCCTGCTTGTGTTCTCTGTCAAATAAATAAAAATCTTAAAAAAAAAAGAAAAATGCAGCTGTGAACATTCTTGATTATATTTTTTGATGCACACAGTCATGCATAAAATCATGTCATTTGGTATAAGAGTAAAAAGTTCTGTCAATTTTATTTTCGTGAACAATATATGAAAATTCTGACTGTTCAATAACTTTGCCAGTGTTTAATATAAGAGTACAGTACAGTTTATCAATGATTTCCTTGAGCTTACTCCGTTTTTTGTTTTTTGTTTTTTTTTTTTGCCTTGCATCAGAAATACTTCTCTATCCCAAGGTCCCAGATGACATACCTACATATGTGTTAGATTCTTTTAGATGTGTGCGTGTCTGGTATGGTAGTCATTTGCTCCATGCATCCATTTAAATTTTGATTAAGTAAATTTAAAGTTCATTTCTTCAGTCACTGTAGTCACATTTCAGGTGCTCAGTAATGACATGTAGTTAGTGACTACCATATTGGGCAGCATAGATAACAGACTCTTAACCACCATTACAGAAAGCTGTCTTGGCCAGTGTTGTCCTGGAACCTGATTATTGAACATTCATGTTTGTATTTCTGATTCACCTGGAATCAATTTATAGGAGTGCTTTGAGATAGGTAGTAGAGGTCAAGGTTCATTTTTCTTTACATATGAATAGCAAATTGACCAAAGCCATTTAATGATAAAACTGTCCTGTCTCAGCAGTGCTCCTTTGTCATAATTCAGGGCTATTTCTGGGCCCTTTGTTCTGTTCCATTGGTTTATTTGTAAGTACTGTGTGAGTACCACAGTGTCTTATTACTCTGCTTTAAAACTTGGTCATGTTGGGAATATAAGGGAAGGGAGAAGAAATGTGTGGGAAATATCAGAAAGGGAGACAGAACATAAAGATTTCTAATTCTGGGAAATGAACTAGGGGTGGTGGAGGGGGAGGAGGGCGGGGGGTGGGGGTGAATGGGTGACGGGCACTGAGGGGGACACTTGACGGGATGAGCACTGGGTGTTATTCTGTATGTTGGTAAATTGAACACCAATAAAAATTAATTTATTAAAAAAAACTTGGTCATGTATAGTATCCTTTATTCATTTATGACTTTTATTTTTTGAGATGTGTAATTTGCATTTTTATGTACTGTGTCTTCAGTGCACATGAATACTATATCTCACATCTCATTTTGTTTCCTGCTGTTTTTTTTTTTAAACTAAGGACTACGTTTTCAAGATCTTTTTGTCTTGCTATATGTACCTCTAACCCATTTCTCCTGATGTCTGCACTATACTCTTAATTGCCAGGTTAATTACAACCTCCTTTACTGTACCAGCACCACCTTTTATTCTTTCTGGTCATTTAGAAAATCTTTTTTTTTTTTTTAAGATTTTATTTATTCATGAGAGACACAGAGGGAGAGGGAAGAGACATAGGCAGAGGGAGAAGCAGGCTCCATGCAGGAAGCCTGATGTGGGACTTGATCCAGGACTCCAGGATCATGCCCTGAGCCAAAGGCAGATGCTCAGCTGCTGAGCCACCCAGGCGTCCCTCATTTAGAAAATCTTTACTGAATCCCTGTTATATGCCAGGCACTATTACATGTTTTGAAGATAAAGCTCTTTTAAACTTTTGTATTTATGTTTAAATGTATATATATTTATTTATATAAATAGATTGGTTAAGAAAGTAGGTCCTCTCTTTGTGAAAACAGACTACAGAAAAGGGAGTTGTAAACAGCCTTGCAAGTAAAACACAAATATGCAGCCTTTCTAGAATGTGTCAGTTCTCCATGATTGTAGGGAAATTTTGAAACAAAAAAGCATTTTTAAGTGCATTCTTCTTTGACACAGTGTTGACAGGGAATTGCATTTCCTTTTCATATTTTGCTCACTGTACTTAGTTCATACTTGCTCGCTGTCATGATCATTGTAATAATAGAAACATCTCTCCCTGAGTTTAGGCAAAATCTCAACCCACTTTTGGCTACGAGTCCAGCTCTCTGCAGTCCATGAAGTCAGTCTCCATTCATGCATCTTTTTATGGTTTCTTCTCTTTGTTACTACTGCTGTCATCTCTGCTGCTGTTCTTTGTTCTTGTTGATTTGTTTTTAAAAATTCTTTCACTGTAATTTTAGTAGAGTTTAAGGAGTATGGATATTAATATACGAGCCTAGCCTGGCATCTCTAACTTTGTAGGCATAACATTCTTGTGTGGTGTATTTTTTTCCTCTGTTGAAAAGAAACATTGCTTCTTGAAATCCATTAAGACTGCTAATCTCTAATCACCTCTATGATTCTGTTTTTGCATTCTTTAATAGATGTTTAGACCATGTGGTAATTATTGAGTCTTTAGGGTGATGGGGTTGTTTTGTTCATTTGTTTTAGAGGGTGTGTTCCTATGTTTGTGTTTTTCTTACCATCTTTTATGTTGTGACCCATATAAACCCAGTTTTTGCATAAAGAACTTTATGTGTTTGCCTTTTGTTCTCTATATCGCTTACCTGAATCAAGTGGACCTACTTTTTTAAACTAAGGTTTTAGTAAAACCTTACACAAGTTACTTAAAGGTAGAAGTAGGTTTTAAATCTCTATACTTGTAGGACTTGATGTACACAGTGCTGTAGTTTCTTAAGCTCAAAAAACAGCATTCATATTAAAAATTGAATTGCTGTTAAGGGGTTTTTTTGAGAATAGCACAACAGACCTTTAGAAACAATAATTTTCGGTAAAAGATTTATTGAATTTCTTCCTATAAAGCAATAGTAGCATATACATATTTAATAGATTAGGTTATGTGATTTGGCATAAAACTGTGGTAAAGAGGGGCACCTGAGTGGCTCAGTGGTTGAGCGTCTGCCTTTGGCTCAGGTCATGATCCCCAGGGTCCTGGGATCGAGTCCCACATTGAGCTCCCTACAGGGACCCTGCTTCTCCCTCTGCCTCTCTCTGTGTGTCTCTCATGAATAAATAAATAAAATCTTAAAAAAAAAAAGAAAGAAACTGTGGTAATGAGACTAGGGTTTTAATCCCCAGTGGGGATTATGTTTTTTGGTATGCCTTGCATTCTTAATATTGGCAAACTCAATAATAATTGATACTGCTATCATAGGGTTCAAATATAACTGGAACGGAATGACCAATCCAGATAATCAAGCTGCTGTACAAAAACAACCCAAAACAAGCTTTTAAGGTGATGATTCACTAAGGTTTTCTTTTATATGTAGAACAATAACTAATGAGCCATTCTTTTAATCAAGTAATCTTAAACATTTCATTTGATAAATTCACTTTTACTTTTGTATAGTTGGCTATCAGTAATATCTTTCCTTTAAACTATTTTTCCATAGGTTCTTCTTTGAACTAGACTTTTAATGTTTTTGACGGAAAGATTTTTAATCATGTGATAATCATGTGATAATAGGTTAAAAGGTGAAATTCTCTCATGGTTATAATTCTCACTTTTGTGAAGATACTAGTGTTAACTGAAGAAGTTGACGAGTAGTTGCTTTAGCTAATAGTTTAAACTATATTCACTTTACCCAGATACTAACTGAAATAAATCATCAGTGTGTGCTAGGCTCATAAGGCTAAATAACTTAAGGAGAGGAAGCAATTGTTGATGGGTTTGTGGGGTGAGGTTTGCTGGGTAATGCTTTATGTGAACTTAATGAGTCACAGAGCTCTGTAACTGTGGTCTTGGGGGAAGCTGGGGTCAGATGATACTATTACGTTGATGGAGTTCTTAAATAAGAGTTTTTCAGCAGTGACATGACCTAGAGACAGGCATGAGAAAGGAAGAGGAGGAAGACAATACATGCAATAAATAACTGATTGATGGTTGACCCTACAGTGGACAGAGAAAGAAAGTGTGCCGCAGCCAGCTGTTTTCTAACAAGCTTTTATTTATTCTTCCCTTTTAATTTTTTATTTTAATCTTCCCTTTTTAAAAAGGTGAGCTCCCTCATTAAGGGTGCTTAGATTTTTTTTTTTTACTAGTAGTTCTTTACTATTTATTATATAATGATAAATTAGTAATCAGATTGATCAATATTTTAATGTCATTTTCCTATTGAATTGGGCCCAGGCTTTTTATTAAGCTTTTCCCTTTTTTGTGAGGAGCTGTTTTACTTATTCCTAAAGGCCTTAAATATTTAAAAAAAACCCACTATAGTTGTATTTAAGATGCAGGTAATTAATTAACCAGAATTTGCAAGGTCTGTTGGAATTGATTGCATGTTTATGTTTTGAAATATTTCTCAACAATGGTCCAAATATTTTTGTTTCCATTTTAGAACAAAATCCAGTCTCATAGCAGAGGAGAATATAATGTTTACAGCACCTTTCAGAGCCATGAACCAGAGTTTGACTACTTGAAAAGTTTAGAAATAGAAGAAAAGATCAACAAAATTAGGTGGTTACCCCAGAAAAATGCTGCTCAGTTTTTATTGTCTACCAATGGTAAGTGTTAAATTTTTTTCCTGTTAAATTTTTTTCCTTTTATATGCCTTTTATATATATGTGTGTACATATATCCTGTACAGTGCTTAACTTTTACAAAGAGGAATAGATGTTCAGAAAGTTCAGAATAGATGTTCAGAAAGACACTTGGAAATAGACGTCTTCCCTATACATGATGTGTAAATTCTTCTTTGTCTTCCCTTTTTTCTTTTAGTTTTTAAATTCTGTGAAAAAGATCTCAGGTGTCCATATTCTTTTGGTATATACACACTCTGTAGTGCAAAAAGGACTTTACCACTGGATTTTAGATCAGGTACCATTTGTACCACATCTTGGTTTAGTTGCCTTTGGCACATTATAACACAAGTCAAATTTTCCTCATCGGCAAACTGATGATGGTAATAATGTAATAGTATTGTTATGGGTAGTAAATATGATATATATGATGATGATGATGATGATAAATACCCCAAGCAGATGTGTTGGGACATACATAATTCATGTATTGGGATATTTGTTCTTAGTAATTTTGGCAGTTCACTTCTTACAGGATAAAGTATTTTTCTTTTTAATAATGGGAAATGTTTAAAATAAAGGCTGAACTAGAATAAGAAAGTCCTATGTACCCATCATCCAGCTTTAGCGCTTCTCAGTTCGAAGCCAGTTGTTTGTTCAGGTACTTCTGCTTTCCCTCCTCAGTATTGTTCGGGAACAAATCCCATTTCGATTCATTTATGGATTAAATCTTAATTACCCCTCACTTCTCTGTTCATACTTGCATGTGTGTAACCAGATGAGACTTTCTAGACAGTAAATTCTACAAACGCTCAGTAGAGGGAGAGGCCCTGGGGATTCTAGTCATTGGGTCTTGGGTATGTGATCCTGTGTAGTATTTTCTATAGACAATCAACAGTGTCTCCCAAATAGATTTACCATGTGAATTTTTAAGTCATTGATTAATAATACAAATTATTTTAAAGGGCACTACACAGTGCATTGTAGGTTTCTGTCTTTTGTTGTTACTGTTAATGAGCACTAAATAAAATACAATTATTTGGGGCTACATTATTTTTTTTGTGATAAAAAACAGAACCCACTGTAGAAGAATAATACAAGTGGGAATTTTACAGACTGTTGTGTCTGGATGTGGTGGGATGGGAAAAGGATGGAAGGAATAGAACTTAAGCTATATCTGGAGAGCTATTGTTTACAAAGAAAGAAAATAATGGGAGAATGTCAATATCTCTTAAATCTAAGTCATAACTTTATATTATCTGGTATGTTTGCCTCTGTAAGATTGAGCATAACAGTTCCTCTTCCCCTACATGTAACAGGCCTTTTGGCTCATAAAAGATGAACTCCTAAAGGGAGGTGGTGTAAAATAGCATGAAACATCCCCCACCTTTGATTGACTAAAAATAATCTCACTTTGGTCTTATATGGATTTCCCATGGTCATCATCAGCCGTCCAGTGTTTTCCAGGTCATTTTTATTCACATAACTTCATAGTGCCCTCCTTACAACTTTGGTTCATTTAATTTATCTTCACGTAACTTTATTCTCTTTCTCTCCTTTTGCTTTCTCGGAGTTTTCCACAATTCTTCCACATTGCAAAATGTCCACCTCTAACCTATTGACCGTGGATCTTGAATATATGAGTAATACAGAGTTTACCAGTAAATACCTTGTGTTTTAACAGCTGTTAATAAGTTTTTAAATAACAAAGCCACATTTCCACAGGGAAACTTGGTAGATGGTTTTCCCTGTCCTACTCTCTCTTTATGGTGAGAGAAACACTGGGACTTTTGGACTTCTGGAATACTCTTTACTCGTTAGTATTGACAATGTAGGGAAACACCATAGAGCACTCTTAACCTTTTGGAAATGACAGATTTCTTTAAGGAATCCAATAATACTCTTACAGAAAAATACATATATTTACATAATTTTGCATGTAGTTCTATGGAGTTTGATTATTGTCACATACTTCTAGTTGGCCAAAAACTACAGTTAATTAAATCACTACTATAGAGCTTAATTTTGACTTTTTAAAAATTTGTCCTAATTATTAAAATATTTTATTTCTGACATGCCTTGTTTCCAGGCATTGCACTGAAATTGTATAGTACTTTTCTATCCTGTGTTTATGCTATTAAGTTTTTTAAACCTCTTAAGTGACAAATTTTATCACATAAAATTTTTTTTAAAGTGTAGCATATTTTTAAAAATCTGTTTATTCAGTTCTTCGTGATTTTAAAAAAATTAATTTTCTTCCTAAAACACTATTAGAAACCACAAACTAATTACATCTTATTTGAAAATTTTGATAAGTGCATGGTTATTTATCTGGACCTTTGGTAAGGATGATGAATTTGTACAGGGCACAAGGCAGTTATGGGGGTTGGGTGAAGGGAAGCTTTTCATCCTTATTTTTAGATACTTCCAAAATAATGAGTTTAGGCTTGACTTATTAATAACATTTGGGGACAAGTAAAATATCCTAAAATATATAGATCTTTACCTAACTTATATTTTATATGTATATCTATAAAATAAACATAGTACATAGAAAACACATACAACTTCATGATAATTCTAACCAGGATCACTAGGGTTTAGATGAAATATTAGATTACAAGTTAGTAAAGTTAGCAGTTCTTTTCTGCTTATACTCCTCTTTGTAAAGGTTATTCACAGAGGTAGCTAGCATGCTCTTCACCACCAGGCGGAGAGAGGTGGCAGGGCTACAGGAGTCCCTGCTACCTCTCTATATGATAAAATCTTATAAAGTATCTCTATACACTATTTTTAAAAATTGTACCAAATTGCTTATGAAAGGACCATTAAGAATGATAATGAATGCAATTTTAGGATTATAACACAAAGCATTAAATAAACATGCATGAGTCTGTAATGATTTTTTTGTAATGATTTAAATAAACAATTAGTTGAATAAATAAGCAGGGAGGGGAGATGCTTCTTACAGGAGAATTTCAAATAATATTTGGATGGATGCTTCTCCTTATAGGGACTATAACTTGGTTCTTCTTTAAGTGTGGACTGAACTTAGAGATTCATTTCCAAAGAATAGAGTATGAGAAGGGGGAAATTAGTAACTGTGCAATGGAGAAATCTGGCAGATACTGCCTTAACCAAGTGAACAGAATTATCATCTCCAGTGGAAAAGTAATGTTGATACCATGTATACCTTCTTTTCACCTCTGGTATTCTTCCTAAAAACCCAGTGATCCCAGTCTGATCATGAGAAAACTGCAGATATACCCAGTAGAGGCACATTCTTTAGTACTTTACTGCTGCTTCTCAGAACTGTCAGGATGACGAAAAATAAGAAAAGTCTGAGAAATTGTTAAAATGAGAGAGACTAGGGAAACTTGACAATTAAATACACTGTTGTTTGGATCCTGGCATAGAAGGGGATGTTAAGTAGAAAACCTGGTGGATTCTGAGTAAAGTCTGGAGTTCAGTTAGTAGTAACATACAATGTTAATTTCTTGGTTTTAACAATCATACCTGTGGTGGCATAAGATGTTGACATTAGAGGAAATTAGATGAAGGGTATAATGGAAACACTGCTATCTTTGCAACTTTATTGTAAGTCTAAACTTGCTCCAAATGTTCGTTATAAAAATACTATTTTATATATTCTTGATACCCACAAATTTTGTCTTAAAGAATTTGAGGACATAGCTTTATTTTATTAATTATTTTAAAGATTTTATTTATTTGATAGAGAGCCAGAAAGCATAAACAGGGTGGGGAGAGAGGCTAGCAGAGGGAGGAGAAGTAGGGAGCTTGATGCAGGGATTGAACCCAGGGCCTCAGGATCATAACCTGAGCTGAAGGCAGGAGCTTAACCAACTAAGCCACCCAGACATTTCAGGACATAGCTTTAATTGGTCTTTTTTTTTTTTTCAGACTCTGATGCCAACTTGACTTGAATCCTTAATACAACAGGGAAGGATTTAAACAGAGGCATCCAGTCTGTAAAGGAATTTGTTGAGTCTTTGGTAGCATCTGCTAGGAAGTATGGGACCAAGGGAGATAGATACTCCTCTCTCATTTTTATTCTAAATTATAGGCTATCCTAATAACTCTGCCATTTATTTTCTTTTAAAAATAAAATATTAAGTATATATATGTATGTGTATGTACAGATATGTAGGTGCTTATATACACACACACAACTTTTCTCCCCTCTAGCTTTAATTATTTTTAAAGGACAAGAGCCTGACTGTGACTTGATTTTAATATCAAATAGTACTTTGACTGTCATTAACATGAAATTTGTGATGTCTATACTGTATTTCTATGTATATGTGTTTTTTATTCACTGGGTAATAGGAAATTTGTTTTTTATTAAGTCACGTAAGAGATTTTATTCTTGGAATCCTTTTAGGTGAAAAATGAAATAGCATGTTTAAATGTGCCTTAAATGTTTTTCTTCTATTAGTATTGCTGGGGTTTTTTTGAGGACTTTTTTCATTTTTCTCTCCAGATAAAACAATAAAATTATGGAAAATCAGTGAAAGGGACAAAAGACCAGAAGGGTATAACTTGAAAGAGGAAGATGGAAGGTATAGAGATCCTACTACAGTCACTACACTACGAGTAAGTACTTAAAAAAATAATGGTAATTCTGATGATTAGGTTTCAGTATCTATATTATATATTCTAGATCCTGAGCAGAACTTGGATAGGATTAACTATAATCTGCACCCCCGTCCCCCAACAACTTTATAACCAGATAGGACTTAAAAACTCCTCTGTTTTAAATAACTGTGTCTCGCAGAGAGGTCCCGCTGTGCCAGGGGCTGACCCAGGACCCAATACAATGCCACACTCTTTTGTCCTCATGGTTTGAATGTCAACTATTACAACTTTAAGTTTCAAGATTAATTTTATTTGAGATCAGAAAAGTAGAAATGGACCAGGTACTTTAGTTGCAGCTAAGAAATACCAGAAATTAGATGCTTTGAGCTAATTTCCTTCTTAGCCACTTCAAACCAGAACATTTAGCTTTGCAAATCTCCAGCCAAAGATTTGAACTAGAAAGCACAGCAAATCCTAATAGTATTCCTATCACTCAATAAATTGACCAAATTACTAATTTTTCGCCCTTATTTTAACATTTTAAGGATCAGCATCAGTTGCTTTATAAAACTAAATCTGTGTAATATAGTACATTGTTCCCTCAAAAACTAGGATAAAGAACTGAACTTTAAATGCTGTTGTAAATAGTGAGCATTTTGTAATGACCATTTTTTTCCTGTGTCTTATTGACAGGTGCCAGTCTTTAGGCCCATGGACCTAATGGTTGAGGCCAGTCCACGAAGAATATTTGCCAATGCTCATACATATCACATCAACTCAATTTCTATTAATAGTGATTATGAAACATATTTATCTGCAGACGATTTACGGATTAATCTTTGGCATCTGGAGATCACAGACAGGAGTTTTAGTATCCATTTGGTTTCTTTTTTTGGTGTTTGGTAAAGAAAGCATGTTGTGCCCATACTACATTTATTTTCATCTCTCCTTTTATTTATTCTCTTTATAGTAGCTTCTTGCTTTATGCCCCTTTTTCTTTGTGTTTAAGTGACTAGACAGTGGGGGAAGTTCTTTGATAAAGAGCATAATGTATTAATAGGATTCTTAGAATTTTAAGTGCTATTAGACTAAGTTTAGTACTTCATACTAAGTACTTTGCTATGATACTGTGTATATTAAATACTGTTATACCTATAAGAATAGGCATTTTTTTAATGGTTGAGTTTTTTATAAAACAAATTTATGGAGTACTATTCATTAAAAATGTAATTACAAAAATATTCTTAGTAAAGTTAGCAAAAGAAATTCATATCCGTTATGATGCATGGTGGTATAAAGTCAAAAGAAATACTTCTCCAAACACCACTTTCATTGTTTATATTATCCTTCTGAATACTTTCTGTACATATACAAGTGTGTGATACAGACATACCTGGCATACACTTATAAATCTAGGATTATTTATAAATATATTTAAGTACCTTTTTTTAAAGAGGTTTTGAAGTGTTTGCAGTTATTATTGCTAGTGTTACTGTTTTATGTATTTTTAAGTAGACATCATTTGAAAAATCAATAGTTTACTGTAATTTATCCATAGTATCTAAAAGAGCTTGTTTCTGTGTAGCATTACCAGTCTAGTTAGTGGAAAGTCCTATTTACTAACCATTTATATTTTTTTTTTGTTCTTTTCTAGTTTTTTTAATTGGGTTTATATATATTGTTTTTTTGGGGGGTTTCTTTTAAAGCACCTTTTTTGTTATTAAATGAATCCACCCCTTTGTGGTGCAGATAGGTTCCCCTTTTTGCCCCTTTAAAGTTTTTTACTTTTATTTGGAATGTACACTAAGTCCTATTAATATTTAGGAAAATAAACTTACCAGTCTTTTCCTTATGGCTTCTGAGATTTGTATCATACTCAGAAAAAAAGGCCCCTCTTTTTATTATTATTATTTTTTTTTTTAGGCCCCTCTTATTTTAACATGATTTCTTCTAAGATTTTTTTTTCCCCCAAGCATTAGAAGTTCTGATTCCTCTGGGATTTATACTCCTATAAGGAGTAGAATCCATTTCAGAATGAATATTTGTGTTTAAGTTTATGAATGAATTTTAGGTTTGAGAAATGTAGAATTGTCCTTTTTCATAAGTGGAAATTCCTTAATAAAATGCTATTCAGATATTGTGGATATCAAGCCTGCCAATATGGAAGAGCTAACTGAGGTGATTACGGCAGCAGAATTCCATCCAAACAGCTGCAACACGTTTGTATACAGCAGCAGTAAAGGAACTATTCGGTTATGTGACATGCGGGCCTCTGCCCTCTGTGATAGGCATTCTAAACGTAAGTATACTGTGTCTTTTTTTCAAGTGCTGTTTTCTGTTTTTGAAACTGTGACTAACTTAGGTTTACAAGTCTAAAAACCTGTGTGCGCAGGGCCTCCTGTACCTTTTGGTAAGCTTTCTGACTCCACATGAGACATTGTATGTTATTCTACTGGAAGAACATAAAAGGCTTTCTTGGGAGCATGTCTGTCGATGTCTCAGTGGATATATTTTTAAATGGAATGTTATTTTTGAGTAACTTGGGGTTGGGCTTTCCAGGTCTCAAGTAAAGTAGTTCTTTTTTTTCTTCCCTCCTAACCTCCCTTCTCTATTTTCCTCCCACCCTTTCTTTATTGCTTTCTGTTTTGAGCTTTCTAGGAAGATTTTTCTGAGAAGAGATTTCCTTGGTTTAAAAAAAAAAAGTTTGAAAAAGCACTGGGTTGAAAAATTAAGGGGCTGCATTATTATTGTCTTCATGTTGTTGAGTATTTTTTAAACTCATGGAAAGTTCTACCTGGCCATAAAAAAAAATAAAATGTAAAAATAAAATAAAATGTGGTATACATTTGGGTGGTGTGTTCCCTTGTGGTGACAGTACAGGCAAAGTCATTGAGGTATATACAGAACTTAAACCCAGTGCACTTTGAAGTCAGAAGTCCTGGATGTGCCTGGTTCTGCTAAATCAGCTGTAGGCCCCTGGAGCATACTATATATACTTTGTATCTTTGAAGTCAATGTTAAGTCATTCCCCTTAGAAACTTAACAGGGAGGTTATGTTCTTATAGTCAATGTTTTTCAGTTCTGTACTAGCCTGTCATCTCTAGCTCACTCTTAGGAGGTTTGTGAATGGTTGTCTCAGCAAGGGCTTTGTTGAAGCCAGAATGTTCTACAACTTGCCTTTTTTTTTTTTTTTTTTTTTTTTTTTTTTTTTTTTGCTTGTTTTTAGTGTTTGAAGAACCTGAAGATCCCAGTAACAGGTCTTTTTTTTCTGAAATCATCTCCTCGATTTCCGATGTAAAATTCAGCCATAGTGGTCGATATATGATGACTAGAGACTATTTGTCAGTCAAAATTTGGGACTTAAATATGGAAAACAGACCTGTGGAAACATACCAGGTATTTATAGTTTTTTCTTTCAATTAGCATATACCCCATTTACTTCTAAGTCTTTATAGAGGAGGATTTTGTACTATGCATTAATCCCAATACAGCATGGTTGACCCTTAGGCTTTTTCTATAATTTGTGTTGTCTCTTCAGTTAAAGTGTGATATTGCTACCAGTTTGGTTCAATATTGACCATTTTTCCCCCACCACTGTCTACATTAATTTTTTTTTTTAAGATTTTATTTATTTATTCTTGAGAGACACAGGCAGAGGGGGAGAAGCAGGCTCCCTGCAAGGATCCCGATGTGGGACTTGTCCCTGCTCCTGGGATCATGCCTTGAGCCAAAGGCAGACGCTCAACCACTGAGCTACCCAGACTCCCTATCTACATTACACTTAAAGTGAGGAGGGAAAAGTACTCTCATAAGGTCTAGGTGGGGAAGAGAATTAGGGAGAATGGCCAGTCCTAGTAGAGATGTCCTGGTTGGAATATGTGGAATAGTTGAACTAGAGCTTATTAATCTTGGCATGCCCAGTGAAATAGACTGGCATTCTGCCTTTTGGCTCTTAAGCTAAAGGAGAAGAGCTTGAAAGCCCAGAGGATGGCTTGAGTTGTTTAGCTATCGGTTGTAGAATGTTAGTTCAGCCAGCCACGCTACCATTGATTCCCCTATCCTTTTCTTCTGGAAAAGAGAATAAAGAATAAAGACATGCACAACCAGGGACAGGAGCCCAGGTGGGGGCAAACAGAAACCTGAGGTAAGCCCTAGACCACAGTGTAGAAGACACTTGAACACTGTGTAAGAATACAGAATTTATAAATGGTACCTTCTTTATGTTGTGTTTTCCATAAAATAAGAATGATGTTTCTCAAACTTTTTAATCCTCTTTGATAAACATAAACTACTTAAGACTCTACCTTAATGGTATTTGAAAGTTTAAAATAAGTGCTATGTTGAAATAAAAGCCAAAGGGATACATCCTGCTTTGTTTTCAAATTACATTTGTGTAACTTCCAAGATTGTGATCTGTGTCCTGGGTGGTTCTCACTATCACCGCCACTGCCACCACCACCCCCTGGTTGCCATTGTGAATAATTGATTTGAACCTTAACTTCATAGTCTTTTAAAATTGGTGAGAAACCCTTGTATGTGCATTGTCTGTGCATTCTAAAACTTTGCTGAATTATGTTTTACCTGATTTGCAGGGGATTTTTTTCCCTATACTGAAATTGATTAGTGATTCAGAGTAGAGTCCCATTTTATACTCAGTGTATACAGATTCAACTGTTGTTGGATTTATATAAACAACTTACTGAGTTGTGTGTAACTAAAGAATATTTTGATCTTACTAATTTTTGCCTTCTATCCTGACCGTATGTGGGCTGCAGTTCCTTAGTGCTAACAAATTTGTGCTTTATGTCACATAGACATGGCCTGAATCATTCCAGTATACTTAAAAAGTTGAAACGGACACTTAAAATGACTTTAGGTTGTTTTATAAAGAATAGAGAATTCTAAGCATTTAGAAAGTGTAACTATTTTCTATCATTGATTCTTTTTTAAGGCTCTCTGTAAGTAAAAACAGTAAGATTGAGACAACACCCCCCCACCCCCCTCCCCCCATCATAACAAGAACTTTGGAACTTTCCTGTTTTGTAATTTCAGTGTTAAGATTGAAATGCTTTATTTCTCAGAATATATTTTTAAATACCAGGTTTATTGTTTAGTTTATCCCCTTGTGAAATACTAGTAAGTATAGAGTTACACCTCAAAAAATAGGTCCATTTTCATTAAGTTCTAATATTTTATAATATTTTAAAAGAATATCAAGTGATAAAAATTTTTCAGTGATGCATACATTGAGTAACTATATACAAATGATCCTTGAGCAACATGGTTTGAACCATGTGGATATACTTTATACATGGGTTTTTTCCTATAAAAATAAATACAGTACTGCAAATGTATTTTCCTTTTGGTTTTCTGAATACTTTCTTTCCTCTGGCCTACTTTGTTAGAAGAATATGGCATGTAATACATATTACATATAACATACAATGTAAGTGTTAACTTTGTTATCAGTAAGCTTCCCCAGCCAATTGTAGGCTATTGATAGTTAAGTTTCAGGGAGCCAAAAGTTACATGGGGATATTTATATATTTTTAAAAGATTTATCTATTTATTTGAGAAAGAGAAAAAGAGCATGAGCAGGAAGGGGCAGAGGGAAAGGGGGAGAGAATCTGAAACAGATACCATCTTGAGCATGGAGCCCGACATAGGACTCAATCTCAGGACCCCAAGATCACAACCTGAGCTGTAACCTAAGAGGGGGACACTTAACCAGCTGTGCCACCCAAGTGCTGCTGTATGCACATTTTTGACTGTGCAGGGGGATTAGTGCCCCTAATCCTCAAGCTGCTCAAGGGTCCGTTATGATTTATCACCAAACCAGGCTGTGCATTACATAGGCACTTGTAATGATAATGTAGACTTCAGTCATTTATACCCAGAAAATGGTATTTAAAAAGGAAGTAAAACATAATATTGAGTGTTATTTATCAGCAGTTAATGGACTGAAAAAAACAAATAACATATTCAACTATTGCTATAATAGTCTTTATTCTCTTATCTGTACCATTTTCAAATTTTTTAGCCTATTTTAGTCCAACTTATAAAGAATTCATGTGTCATGCCCCAAAGGGTATTTTTCTCTGTCCTACAGTAGGAAAATGTGTGTTAATGGAAGGGAGCTCATTTGTTTGTGAAAAGGATAAAATGCCTTTGTTGTTTCTAAGAATTGAGTTTTAATAAGATTACAGAGTATTATGTGTCTATATATCCTTTAAAAAATGAGTTATTTAAATCATTTTTCTAATATCACTTAACAGATCTTGAGTTGTAAATAAGTATATCTATAGTAATATATTTACATTTAAAACCCAGGTTCATGAATACCTCAGAAGTAAACTTTGTTCACTGTATGAAAATGACTGCATATTTGACAAATTTGAATGTTGTTGGAATGGATCTGACAGGTAATTGATTTTAATTTGAACTTCTCATTCAAATGTGCATTTTACTGCAGGAAGGAAATATGCTATTTCACTTCTAGTATGGTTGCCACGTTCACAAAAAAAACATAGCTTTTTTTAGATTGACATAAGTTACAAATCCTCTTCATTTTCCCTCAGTTTGCTTGAAATAAATTCAATAATCTTGTAGTAATAATAGCAGATGAAAATTAAACATTGTGTTTCACTAGGAAATATGAAAATACACAAAAAAGTCTAAATATCTTAGATTTAAATATCTTTAAATACTTTCCTTTTATGAATCAGATTAATGACGGTTTTGACGTGCCAACAATTAAAATGGTGATATTTCAGTTTGGTGGTTCCATCTCCTATGAAACAATTTTGAGGAATATTTTGGCAGTGGATAGTTCATGTGGAATGTTACACACCAGTTTTTCCGAATACATTAATATCTCATAGAAGTGGTAATTACTCTCTGTAATTTTAACCATATTACCATGAGTAATTAGGGTTTTTATAAGCCACAACTTTGCCATGGTGTATGATTCGTTTTTTACTATATCATGGAAATGTATGCCATTATTTCCAAGGATAAAGTAAGTCTTAATCTTTCAGTTTTTCCTTATCAGTATTTACTATTTATTGTGTTCCAATAAAACAGATAATAACAAAAGAAAACATAATTTGGAATTACTTAAACTTGCCTTCAAGGTCATTAAGGTACTTTTTATTTAATAGTTCAGTCAGTGAAGCTTGATAGCATTCAGGTTTCATGGTGTGTTCTGTGTTATAGAGGATGCTAGAAGTTGGATCATTTGTCTTTAGTATGGTTTTTAATATTACCTTTATCTGAATCTAACATGACACCCACAAATAGGCTGGCCACAGTAAACCAGACTAGGAAAAAGCAAGCTTTTGCCTTTGAATGCCACTGCTGTAACCGTAAGGCATCAGGAAGGGTGAAGGAAAGGGAAGAAGAGAAAGGAGAAATTCGCAGACAGGAAGAGAAGGAAGATACTGATACACTACGATCTGAGGCACTGGTACAACCAGCTCTTCCTCATGTTGTTGAAACATACTGTTGGCAGTTTTAAGTTACGTTTCATTATCAAAAAGGAATATTGATTTCCCTTAACGTTTAAAAACTTGTTTTGAAGTAATTTCAGGTGGGGAGAAAAATTGTAAGAGTGACACAAGTCTTATTTAGGCTTCCTCAGGTTTTCCTGTTACTGTTTGCTATGTCAGTCTCTTCTCTTTATTTCTCTCTCTATAAAGACACACAAAAAGATACACATACTTTATTTGTGAACCAATTGGGAGTAAACTCCGACTTGGTGCCCCATTGCCCTTAAACTTGTTAATGAGTATTTTCTAAAAGAGTCTCTGCTATGTAATGACGGGCAGTCCTCTAAAGCAGAACAGTTCCTGTTGGCACAGTCCTCCCATCAAATCTATGGAGTCCATTAAAATTTCACCAGTCCTCTTAGCCATGTCCTTCCTAGCAGAGAAAAAAATCCAGTTGAATATCCAGTCCAAAAGTATATGTAACATTGAGTTGTCCTATCTCGTTCTCCTTTAATCTGGAATGATAGTTTTTTATACTTTCCTTGTCTTCTGCAACTGTGACTTTTTTTTAAAAGGCAGGCCAATGATTTTATAGGATATTGCTTAATTTGAGTATTGTCAAATGTTTCCTTATGATTTAATTCAGGTTACACATTTTGGGCAGGTATACCACAGCATTTCTGAAATTCACAGATAGCCATAGACCTAGGTGTCCTAATCCATTAAAACCTCACAAATTCGAATAATACAAAGATGACAACCCAAATTACATAAATCATTTAAAAATAAATACAGTTGTATTACCCTTAGGTACATAAACCAGTTTGAGTTTGATTAAAATGTCAAGTGTCCTTTGGAGGAATTGACATTACTGAATAGATGGTAATCCTTTGTGTTTCACGTATGACCTATATAATGTATGATACTTGTAAATAGTCTTTTTAAAGCATTAAACAGTTCTTGACATTCTATAACCTTATTCACAATAGCAATTTAAACCATGGGGGAAGAACGTGGTAAGTAACCATAGCACCAGACACTTCCTAAATTTTTTTTTTCCCTAAGATTTTATTTATTTATTCATGAGAGAGAGAGAGAGAGGCAGAAACACAGGCAGAAGGAGAAGCAGACTCCCTGTGGGGAGCCTGATGCGGGACTCAATCCCAGAACACTGGGATTACGACATGAGCCAAAGTTAAATGCTCAACCACTGAGCCACCCAGGTAGCCCAGGCCCTTTCTAAATTAACAGTTTCAAATTTGTGAGGTTTTGCTTATTGGCTACTTTAAAACTTAGCAAATGTTGAGCAGTGATGGATGGAAAGTTGAACTGACAGAACTACCTTGGGTAGGGTTAAAATTCGGCAACTTTTTAAACAGATACTGTTAAAAATATTTGTCCCCCCGCAAAAAGTGCTTAAATTGTATTTGATGTTACAGGTAAAATGATTTCCTGCTAATACAAAATTTATTTTCTACTCTCTTAATATTCTCAGTAGGAGATTTCTTGTAAGCATCCTTAAGCTAGGATTATCCCAGCCAGAGAAGGTCCTGGGAATGAATTCCATAGTTTATAATTTAAATCACAAAATAAAGCATTGGTTTCTGATGAACAGTTACATACTTTGAATTTTGAAGGGTTTCAGAACCTTTGAGCCAACAGTTGGCTGATACTTCAAGAAGGTACCAGTGTGGTTAATCACATAGCCTGTAGTTGCGAAAACATTCAGCAGAGGTTATTTCAGTACTACTAAAAAGCAGTAATTGAGAATACACTCAGCTTTAGTGATAGTTTTGGTCGTCATGAAAAGGAGTCATTAATAGAAATCCAAGTTAACTAGCACTAACTAGTACCAGACTAGTTCTAGTTTGTTTGAATGATTGGTCCCTTGGTTGGTGTCAACAGCCCTCTCCCTAAATCCAAATCTGCTTGAAGTAGCTATTTCCTGTGGAGTAATAGGCTAGGTTTCATCACTGAATCATTTTACTGAAGATAAACTTTTGTTCATTTATTTGACTTCATACTCTTTTTACTTTTACAGTGTTGTCATGACCGGATCTTACAATAATTTCTTCAGAATGTTTGACAGGAACACCAAGCGAGACATAACCCTAGAGGCATCACGCGAGAACAACAAACCTCGCACGGTTTTGAAGCCACGCAAAGTCTGTGCAAGTGGCAAGCGAAAGAAAGATGAAATAAGTGTTGACAGCCTAGACTTCAACAAGAAAATCCTTCATACAGCCTGGCACCCCAAGGAAAATATCATTGCTGTAGCTACTACAAACAATCTGTATATATTTCAAGACAAAGTGAATTAGGGTTGGCATTCCCAACAGAAGAGCCCACTTCCTGCTTAGTTGAGATAGTTGAATCTAGCATTCGTACCTAAAAAAGAGAGAGGTCCATTGTGGCGCCCTTTTCCAGTGTTTGACAATGTGCCATTCGACAACACATTTTTTATAGCTACATGGAGAGATCTCTGTGGATTCATCACTGTGGTGTTCTCCATGTCTGCTAGCCATGTAGGTAAGGGTAGGGCACTTTTAATTTAAATGACTTCTTGCACCATCTTGCCTAATGGACTAGATTGGACTGTATCAACATTGATTTACTCCACTTTTTATGCCTTCCATTGTGATGACGTCAAACACAGTGAAAGCCTTCAGTCATGCTTATGGGATTTAATTGTGTATCCTCATTACTGTATCATTTGTGGGGTACACCCCTCCCCCCTTTTTTAAATTAAATACAGCTCATTCTTACTGTGGCTTGTAGCATTCCTCCTCTTCTGGCCTCCTGGACTCTTCCCCTTCATCTCTTTTACCCTTGCCCCCTCCACCCAGTCTTGGTGGTGGTATATTAAAAAATGAAAGAACGAAAGCACACAAAATGAGTCAGTTTGGGGTCAGTGGTAAAGGGGGTATATGTTGCGAACAAATGTTTTAATAACAGTTGGCTGTAATCACTCCTTGCCGTGTCTGGCACCGAAAATAAGGAAAAAAAATACTACTACTGAATAAAAGTGACAAAGAATGGAGAATCTGGTTTTCTTTTTTCTTTTTAATCTACCTCTTTAAGCCAATATTTTGTGTCATACTTTTGGGCGCAGTGAAATGAAATGAGTTTCCATTGTTTAATTGGTATTTTTGTTAATTATCTCTAAGAAGTGTTCTTTTACATGGTGAAGGAGAGGTCTTGGTTCTGTATGAACATGTTTTAAATATATATTGGTATTACTAAGGATTTCACAATCTATAAATTGCTAGAGATTTTTTTTTACTGTGGTTATAAGAGTATTGGATACATTGTATCTACACTTAACTCATCTGTTAATGAAATTGTTGTAAATGGAAACCAAATTTGTAGAACTTCATTTTTAAAGTCTTTTTACAGTGCTTAATTTCATTTTTGCCTTACTAAGTCAAAGACTTAAACTTTTTTAACAGTTTAAAACTTTTTTTGTCATTCAATCATAAAACATAAAACTATCCTCAAGTGATTTACAGATATAAAATTGACACTGCACTATTTTTTTTTTTGTATTTTACTGCTATCAAATCTGAATGAAATGTACTTTGCCATAGATGTTTTTCCTCTATTTTTGGTTTTCCAAAGTATTAATATTAAAGACAAACTTTAAAGGTACAGTGTTCAAAAAGTGCTTAATGGACTCCAACAGCTGCCTCAAATAAAAATATAGTAATCTGTATATGATTACATTTCCCTTAAGTGGTGATACCTATCCAAAGATGAAGAGTACTCCTATTTTTAATAGGTAGAATGTACCTTTGTCAGTCTTGCAGAAGCTTTAATGAAGAAACAAATGAACTTTATTTTTAAAAATAAAAATTGAGTAGGCCTTTATATTATTAGAGAATGGTCAGTGTGTTTTGGCTGAGCAGTAATAGACAACCTGGAATTTTAGAGGACTCTGAGTGCTTCTTCTATGTCCACTACCTATTGTTCTATTCTCATCAATGAAAAATGATTAGACAATTTGACCTTAATTCCCTCTACACTTCTACAAATATTATGTTCTTGTAAGTTAACATTTTTAGCACACAGGAGAAATTTTATGTAATAAAATTACTGTATCTTTTGGACTTAACAAATTTGAATTTGTATTTAAACACATGATATGTCTGATAATTCTTAAAGTAATGGCACTTTTACTAACTTATTTGGGGGTCTTGGGTGCATTCTTAATTTGTGTTATTTGTTCTTCACACTTGACTTGGAGTGGGATATCTTCCTGCCACGGTATCAAGCACTGATACTTGTCTCTGATCACGCAGTGTTCCAGACCTTTTTGGAAGATTGTTTCCCTAAAGTTTGGGTGTAGGTCTTGAGATAATGCCACCAAACAGCTCTTGGAAATTCTCTTCTGAATAAACAGTAGCTATAATGATTCTCACCCATGACACTTAAGGGTTAGTCTTTTATGTTTAAGAGAAACATTGCTAAAACTAAAATGCCTTTATAAAGGAATGCTATTATAATTTGTAATGATATTCTCAAGTATCAATTTTTAATTTATTTGATGTAGCGAAGTCTAAGCCCAGCCACTCATCTCATATGGTCATGGTTAATCTTTTTATTAATAAAAATTTTGCTTAGAATAAACTTAGTCTTGTCAAATTGCTTGTATTCTATTGTCTTGACACCTACATTCATATTCTATGCCTTCTGTCTTAACCTTTTTTTTTTTTTTAATTACAGTAGGAAAAAAGTCTCCTTTGATCTTTATTTAGTGGCTGGGCAATAGTTATAAATCTCCGTATCTATGTAAACACATTTATATTATAACTAACTACTGGATATTAAGCTTTCTTCTGTGAAGCCCTTAGTCTTTTGGAATAAATACTACATCCACGCACTTTTTTTTTTTCCTTTCAAATTGTGAGGATTTTTTTTTTTTTTTAAGTGAAGATCTTTGTAAACTTTCTATGTGAGGATGATTCTGGGTACAGATACTCCTAAAGAAAATAAGAAATAGGAAAACAGGTTCTTCTGGTGTGTAACAGGATTTATTTCAAGTAATAGGTTTTTAGTCTTGGAAAATTTATATGTGAAACCTAAACACTACTGACAAGTATTTTTAGTGGATCATAAATCATTACCTTCTTAGGGAGCACTTTCAGCATTTTTTTAATCCCATATACATTCATGTGGAGATAGTACTGTACACTTCTGGAAGAGTAAACCCAAGCCAAGAAATAAAAGTGAATGCTAGGTAATCGAGAAGTCAAATTATTTAGTATTTGAGAGCACTACCATTTGGATAGTGCACTATCTATTCAGTTGGTAACCGAAGTGGTGTGTGTGTTTTACTATGGCTAAAAAAGGTTTTTTACACACCTCTTGCCCCCCAGACTTTGGAACCTGACCCTGCTTCATTATGGAAAAATGCACATGAGGTCAAAACATCCTAACTCGTTAGTATTATCAAATGAATAATGACTTTACAAAGTCTTGGGATGTTCTCAAATGCTGGAGATACTTTTATAAGCATAATGCTAAATTGTCTCCTTGACCTCTTACTGCATTAGACTTTGTGACCCGTGTAAGCATTAAGAAATGGCCACCTTAGGTAATAAAAGAAGTGCCCACCTTATGGGCTTAAAGTTCATACATCTGAAAAGTTCCTCTTTAGCATAGAACCGGCCGTACTGGAGAAGGTATTTTCTGAAGAAGGCATTACGGAGATTTCTCCAAGAGGAGAGACCTGGCAAAAAACCCACTGGCATAAGGAGGAAAGCTAGCGCTTGTTTCTCGGTGTCCTGGCTCCGCGTACACTCAGTGGTGTGTGAACAGCAACAGGTTATTTGAGGGCTTTCCCGCTAGGGGGCAATGGTCCAGTCCCGAACATAACTTCCCAGGTATTTTTAGAGTGCACCGACAGGAGACTTCTGTAAGAGCTTGATTATTAAAAAGTAGATTGGGAACCAAACAAAGGGAGAGTTCAAAGTCGTATTTATGTCCGAATAAAACCAGTATTCCAGCAGCGCTTGAGGGCCCGGTGATAGAGGGGGGCTCCCACGTGTCAGTTCCCATGTCTCTTCTGGTCCTGTCTTGCTGGGAAAGCACCAAAAATGAATTTAGGGAAGAGCTGTGAGCTGTCCGTCATCGCCCACAGTCTGCCCAGCGCTTGGCGAAACCGATGCTTGCAGGCCATGCTCGCTTTCTCCTTGCCAGAGAGACCGGGAATTTCGTGTTGATTTCTGTTGAACTTCATGTTTACTCTAGAACACCATTTCCTTTTTAGGAATTTTTTTTTTTAATTTTTATTTATTTATGATAGGCACACAGTGAGAGAGAGAGAGAGAGAGAGGCAGAGACACAGGCAGAGGGAGAAGCAGGCTCCATGCACCAGGAGCCCGACATGGGATTCGATCCCGGGTCTCCAGGATCGCGCCCTGGGCCAAAGGCAGGCGCTAAACCGCTGCGCCACCCAGGGATCCCCACCATTTCCTTTTTAAAAATAACTTCTATATCTTGGAAATGTGTTTTTCAGGAGGTACAAAATGAAAAAATACCTCACCGGTAATCTCACCATGCAGAGAAAACATACTTGGCTTTTTTCTTTTTTCCCCACAGAAAATGGAATCCTGTATACAGTTTTATGTCCTATTTCTCCACTTAACGTTGTGTCTTGAGAATACTCTTTAAGCATGATTTCCCTGTCCGCAGAGCCTCCCATAGGTGGATAGTACACGATTTATTTCATCAGTTCCTGTTGTGGGACTGATTTTTGTTTTCATTTTTGTAAATAGAAGTATCAGAGTGTAAGATTTTAAGGATACATTTCTAGAAATATAGTGTATTAAAGGGTACAGATATATTTAAGATTTGATGTATCTTGTCAGATTTCTTTCCAAAACTGGAAGTTCATCACAAGTATATGGGATTAGGAACACCTGGGCAGCTCAGTGGTTGAGCATCTGCCTTCGGCTCAGGCTCAGGTCGTGATCCTGGAGTCCTGGGATCTAGTCCCACATGGGGCTCCCCATAGGGAGCCTGCTTCTCCCTCTGCCTCTGTCTCTGCCTCTCTCTGTGTCTCTCATGAGTAAATAAAATCTTTTTAAAAAGTATATGGGATTACCTGTATCCTCACACTCTCACTAATGAACAAAAATCCCATATTCTATCTTTATTAATTTGAAAAAATCGTAAGTGGTAAGCCAATTTGTTTTCATATTTCTAGCCAGATACTAATTTCTATAATCTAGATAAGACATGTGCTCTGTAAATATTTTCTCCCCGTCTATACTTGTCTTTTCATTCCCTTGACCGAGCTCTTTGAAGAGCAGCAGTTCTTAATTTTCACAAAGTCCACTTGAGCACCTTTTTCTTCAATGGATAATAGTTTTGGTGTCATATCTAAGAAACTTGCCTAACTTAAGGTGACAAAGGCTTTTTTATTTTGTAGGACTTTAACAGTTCTCCGTTTTTACATTTAGGTCTGGGATCCATTTGAGTCACTTTTTACATATGGTGTGTATAAGAATTCTATATGTACCATAGACAGATCAAAGTTTGTTTTCTTTGCACTTTTATCAAAAATCAGTTGACAAGGTGTTAGTCTGTTTCTAAACTGTTCCATTAGTTTCTGGGTCTTTGCTTTCACCCATTCTACGTTGCTTTGGTCGCTGTAGCTTTCCATAAGCACAAAGTAAATCAACTTTGTTCTTTTACAAAAACGTTTTGCCATATTGGTTCCTTTGCCTTTCCATTGGACATTTTAGAGTTGGCCTCTTGACAGGAACCAAAACAAGCACCTTCGTGGATTTTGATGATAATTGCACCGAATGCACAGACCAGTTGAGGGAGAGTGGATGTCTTAATATTTGTCTTCCACTCTATGAACGCAGCGCAGTGCTCTGTTTTATGGAGGTCGTGGATTTCTTTTATCAGTGTTTCTAGTTGTTAGCATACGGATCTTGCATGCACACTGTGAACTACTAGTTCATTCTTAGAAAGTTTTCTATTTTTAATTGTTCATTGTATCTAGAAATACAGTTGATTTTTGTATATTGACCT